CCCCAAAACCCCAAAACCCCAAAACCCCAAAACCCCTAATTAAAAAAGGCTAATTGAATTTTGTCCTAATTTTGTTAAGTTTAGAGCTTAATAGATTTGACTGTCTTAATAATCTCTTCAAATCCAGGCCTGTTGTCCTGATCTTGATCCCAGCATTTTATCATCAAGGATTTCAATGCGGGTGGGCAATCTGCTGGAATGGCGCTCATATCTGGTCTTTCTTGGAGATTAACAACACTTTGAACTATCTGTGCGCCTGTCATTTGAGGATAAGGAGTTCTTCTAGCGATGATTTCATATAAACAAATAGCATAGGAGAATACATCAGCTTTGTAAGTATATTTCTTACCTTCCATGACTTCAGGAGCCATCCAATGGAAAGTCCCTGTATTTTCAGTCATCATATCATTAGATGTCTCTCTTGAAAGCCCAAAATCTGTAATTTTAGTACAAATATGGCTTGATGAATTTTCAACTTTATCTGACAAGAGAAGATTCAAACTCTTCAGATCTCTATGTAGTATTGGAGGATCGAAATGATTATGTAAATATCCCATCCCTAGTGCAACATCTTTGCAGATTTTGATTTTCTGCTCCCAAGATATATCAATATGTGGGCTGCTATGTAAGAGGCCGAACAATGAACCTCCAAAGCAGAATTCGGTTGCAATACAAAAGTTCTTATGGTCCATAGCAACTCCGATAAATAAGACTAAGTTGGGGTGTCTGATCTTACTCAGAGTTTGTACTTCTCTTCTGAATTCAATCTTGGCTTTTTCAGCACTAATAGATTCGATGTCAAGTCTTTTAATAGCAACATCGATCTCTTTATAAGTCCCTCTATAGACTTTAGCTGATCCTCCTGCACCAATTTTCTCAATGATATTGAAATCTTCCATTTTGAGGTGGTAGTGGTCTTCAAGGGAGCTCTTTTTGTTCTTCTTCTCTTCTTCATACTTATCCTTCTCCATCTTGGCATATATCTGCTCACGCTGGTGGCTTTGTTTCTGAGCTTTAACCAAGTGATTCTGTTCATATTGAATTTTCTTTTGGGCTTCTTTCAGTCTCATTTCTTTAGCGTATTGGATTTGTTGGCATTCTCTTTTCTCTTGTTCAAATTTCATTCGTTCTTCTTCTATCTGCCTCTTGGCTTCTTTGATATAGTTGAGCTATATGGATAAGGCTAATTGGTACCTCTTTATTGATTTCCCGTTCTTTTTCAATAAAGGCAATCTCCTTCTGTAAGTCTTTTGATTCCCTCTCGCTTTGAGAGATTTGGTTGATCCCTGATAAAGCTGATTGAGAGGCAGACGATTGTTTGTTAGAGTCCTGGTTTAAGTCTATCAGATCTTCAAGACTTGAATCAATATCATTAGTGTGGCTAGGCTCTTGTTGGGTAAGTTCTATCAGAAAACTGTCTTCGTTGTTCACAGGGCTCCCTATCTCCTTAGTCCCATCTGTAGCTTTAAGTGTATCTTTCTTGTCAATTTTGTCAAACCAATCTTCACTGGCATAATTATTGTTACCATCAAGTAAATCGAAATCAAAGGGTGAAAAATTTGACTCTTTCTTCTTAGAAGAGTGTTCTTGTATATTCATATCTAATGGGCTGCCTCCCATTTGGACAAGATTTTGCTTGTGCACTGAATTCCAATTTTTACCAGCGGGGTGATTAGTATGCCTCCCTCCAAAGTTATTGTTCATATTTGGATTGAAATTACCAGTTGCTCCAAGAGGAGTCTTCATATTTCCAAATGGAGGCATGTTATAAGATGGCATCATATTTGAAGGATGGTTGAAAGGTCTACCCCTTTGCTTCATTGGAAATCCTGATCTTGGCTGAGCTGATTTATTTTTACCAAGATCTATGAGGTCATCATTTGGGCTAGCTCCAAAATCTACAAGGTCTTCTGCAAAGTTAAAACCATTATTATTTTCCTCTCTAACTTTAGAATCTTCGTGATCAAATATATTGACATGCTGAGCTGGCTGAGGATTATCCATCATCTTTTGGACCTCTGACATGAAGTCATCAGGAATAGAAATTTCCTCTCCTTGGCCTTGAAGGTTCTTAGATTTGTTAGTGTCGTAGTTAAAGGCAGTAGAAAAGATGCTTTCTTGGTCATCATCATCAACTTCTAGTCTTACATCTAAATTCTCCTGTCTAGTTCTTCTTTGTTGACTCTTTCGCCTCTTGGAGGGTAAGGTCTGAAGGATTGAATCGATAGTTGGGCAAGGATATTTGCAGTCTCTTAAAACTCTATCCCCTCCTCTATAATTCTTGAAGGGCTCGAAATGACAATCTTCATCGGTGAATTCGCTAAGAATAACCAATCTTGTGCTCTCAAAGCCTAAAGGAAGTCTCAAGCCTCATATATCATTGGAGTCGCTCAAGAAAGTTGTTATATCCTTCTTGTCACCTTTTATGTTCAAGTCATTTAGAAAACTGTTCAGTTTAAAATGCTTGATAAGTATCAGAGGGAAATAAGGCAATTTTGGCCGAACATCTTTTAGCTCTGGAATTCTGATAGCTTTTTGATAAAAGAGATAGGAAGAGGCATAATTTTGAATAAATTTGTCATCCAGTATCTCCATGTCAGCTTTAAGCATATGCTCAGCTCCGTTTAATACCACAGTGGTTTTAAAAGCATGATAGAGATGAGTTATTAAGCATATCAAAGGATATTCTTCTTCGAGAATTGATACTGTTATAAATGCTATAATTTTCCTCAGATATGTAGTTTGTGTTAACCTATTATGGATCCCAGTTAGCTGCTTCCAATAATTAAACAAGGCTCTTATAACTTTCAGGGCTAATGGACTTCCATCAATACTATCTTTATTTTTAAAATATCTATCAAGGTTAAAACATTGGCTGAATAGCTTTTTGTGTGCTACGAATAAGTCATATTTTGCTATCATAATCTCAGAATAGATTCAAATTAGTTTATTAAAGTTGTCAGATCTATATTCGTCTTTTGTTCCTTTCCTTTTCCTCATAATATTTCCTGCCCAAGCCTCATAAATCTTTACCAAAATTTCTCTTGCTTCTGCTTGTGGAGATGGCCCTCATAGCATGTACTTATGAAGAAGACATAGCGATTTTAGGGCGATGATTGTATTATCACCGAACCCTCTTTGGTCTAGATTTTTGTAGAACTTATGAATCTTATCTTTCTTTCTCCAGGCTTTGAGCACCAATTTAGCTAAGAACTGAATTTTAGGTGGGAAATTAGAGTTATCTGTGGCATATCTGACCCACCCTCTTGTGCCGTTTGATAGGGTATCCACAACTCTAGTCGCAAAGCCTCTAAAGTCCTTATCGGTTGTGTCCAAATGGCTTGCTTTGCCATAGATATAATCTTCAGGATCATCTTCTGAATATGCAGTTTTGTATTTCTTTCTTTCTTCATCAGAAGAGTCATCTTTTCTTTCTTCTTCGTCAATATTTGAGAATATGTCTTTTCTCCTGTCAGCCGAGTTGCCACTCATTAGTTGTGATTGGATATTTTCGATAACTTTGAAGGTTTGGTTGGCTGATGGTCTATCAGCTGGATCCTTTGTCAGTAATTTCTTAACTAGTTTTTGGAGAGCTAAAGAGTACTTGTTAGTTTGTGGGTACGAAGCAATCCCATCAGTCTGGTTTTGCTTATCCGAAGCATCGAATGGCTTTCTGAAATACATCATTTGGTAGAGTACTACACCAAGAGCCCATGAGTCGATCTTGACTCCAATAGGATATCCAGAGTAAAAGTCTAATTGCTCAGGTGCTCTATATTCTGGCTGTGTATAATATGTAATCTCAGACTGGATCTTCCCCATATCTTCTTTGGTGACCTTGAAATAAACTTTCTTAGTTCAATTACCAAAATTTCATAGTTTGTAATTTCCATCATTTCCCAATAAAATGTTCTCAATTCGTATATCTCTATGGATTATGGGTGGATCACTTCGATGAAGGTAACTAATACCCTTAGTGATGTCAAATAAGATCTTGAGGATAAACTGTTCTGGTAGACCTCTATCCCCCTTCTTTTTACGATTCATAATAATCTTACCCAGATTACTGAGACAATACTCGAAGATGAAGATCACATCAATGTCTTGACCACAGATAGCCTCCTTTTTGTCGATAAGCTTGATGAGATTTTGATGCCCTTTTATTTCCTCAAGGATAGTGTCCTCTTTAACGTAAGACTCATAAGCAGCTTTATTTGAGGTATTAAATGCCATGTGCTTAATAGCTACTGATGCCTTTAGGTTATCCGAAGAGCCTTCATAAATTGTAGAGAATGCCCCTGATGCTACCTTCTTTGAAACCCGGTATTTATTTCCTTCAATAGTCACAACTTTGCCTTCAAGACTACTTGCCATTGCAGATAAGTTTGTATTTATTATAAAATTGTAAATTTTTGGGGTTTTGGGGTTTTGGGGTTTTGGGGTTTTGGGGTTTTGGGG